TTTTTTTTTTTTTAAGACCCACACTCATTGGCTGCTGCAGTGGTCATTGAGGCTTCTGGGAGCTTATGGCAGAGCACCTCACACAGCATGGGGCACTGGGGGAGCAGCGGGAATCGCCCCTTTGCCTGGTAGGAGCTCATGAGTGCGGGCCTTTTTTTAAGAGCTGGGACACTGCGGCCAGGCGGGGCAGGCAGTGACAGGGCTGGGAGAGTGGGTGCGGGTTGGGGCCTGGCTGATTTGGAGATTTGGCTGAATTGATTCAGGACAGTGACTCGAATCGCCAAATTGAGTCACTGCCCCCCAAATCGGCCGAATCTGAAGCAAATACTAGCTCCTTTGCACAGGCCTATTGTATACCCTATCCCAATTATGACACGTACTACTATGCCAGATGTGTGTGGCAGTATGTGTAATGTTTGGAACAGAGCATAAAATCCCTGATGCCAATTGCACCATTATTTTTTATGTTGCAGGGGCCTAATATTCTTGGAAGCCTTGCCTTTTAGTCATATTAGTTTACTACTTGCTTTTCAGGTTTCCCTTTTTTGTTCTGTGGAATTACATGCCTTTTAAAACCACTGCTGTTTTCTTGTGTAGCATGCATGCCATAATCAGGGATTTTACTTTCTGCCCCTTTTGACTTTGGAGCCTTCTTGACTAGTCACATGGTTTCATTGAAATTTCCCTTTTACAGAACTTAGTTTAATGTATTTCAGTTCTTGGGATCTCACCTTCCATAGGATATTGAAGTGTAATTTCAGTTAGGTAATGGTAAGCTACTGCTGCTTCTTAAATTAACACTTGTGCCTGCCTGGTACTGTTACAGTAGTAATACTGAAGAACAAATAATGTCCTTGTATACAGACATCTGCTGACTGTACTGGAAGTTGGCTACATGAATCAGATAATAGAGCTAACTTTAAAATCTCAAAATGAAAAAAAGAGGCCTACATAACTTGTTTTCCTTTTTAATGATGTTTAGAACCATATTTAATAATAATAATTACATAGGTTGCTTGTAAGCTTCCCTTGAGGATTAGAACTGAAAGAGTGGTTGTCTTGTGAGAAGTGTGCACCCACAGAATCATTGGGTATTTTTGTCTTTGATAAATGTTTTGGTGTGTTCATTCTGGTGCACAGTTGTTGTTTGGTTTCTCCTATATATTTTCCATCAGGGCACTTGGTGTGCTGGATGAGATATTAAATTTCCAGAGGTACAGGTGTAAGATCCAGGAATGGTGAGGGTTCTGTTGTGGGATGTAGTTATTGTATGTTGGCAGGTTTTACATCTTTTGTCCTGACGTGCTATGGATCCATTTGGTGCGTTTTGAGCCATAGGAAGTTTGCTTTTGGTGATGAGGCTGGCAAGGTTTGGTGCTTTTTAAAGGCTAGGATGGGTGGTTCTGGGAAGATCTCTTTAAGAATTGGGTCTTCTAGTATGGGTTGCAGTTGTTTGAGGATTTTCTGTATAGGTTCCAGAGAAGGCTGGTATGTTGTCATAACTAATGGTGTGCGATTCATGGGGGTTTTCTTTCTGTACTGCAGCAATTCTGTGGTATCCAGGTGGCTCTTTCAAAAGTATGATCCATCTCTCTGGAGGAGTGTCCTTGTTGAGTGAAAGCCCTTCTGAGATTTGAGGCGATGATTGAAGATGATGATGTTCTCAGTGCGAATGTGGTGGTTTCAGAGGGTTTAGCTGTATATTACAGCTCTTTTTTGGTGTGTTTAGGGTGACTGCTGGTTATGTGCAGATATGTATGGTGGTCTGTGGGTTTCTTGTATACCGTTCTTGATATTGATCGTGGTGTCTAAAAAGGAAGTGTTGGTGCTGGAGTATTCAAGAGATGCATCTTGATTATTATACTTGTGCTATGGTAATGAAGGACTTACAGAAAGAAGAGTATTGACTAATCAAACTGAAGACAATCTATTAAATAACCATTGTTGTGTTTTATCTTGGGTCTCTTTTCCATGTAGTATTTGTCTTCTTGGAAACCGTACATTGTCAAGACGCAACTTTGACACTTGTGCCAAATTTACTAAAATAGATAATAAAACGGAGACTACGAGGCTGTGGAGACTCTTCTGTGACAGTGCCTTGCTCAATGCCACATGTGATGAATACTTCAGCTTAAATAATGTGACTGAAATTCAAGGAATTCCTGGTGTAAGCAGTGGAGTCCTAATTGGTACGTGAAATTTGAACAGTCACATTTTTAAGATTTTTTTTTGGGGG